TAATCTGTCTGTGCCAAGAGCTTGCAACCAGAAGTGATGTGTTGTATAGTTTCTGGCATGATGTGACATTTTCTGCATGTGTCATTTGTGAGTGTTGTATCTTTGAGTATGTGTTTTTTGTAGTTTTTAGTATTTATGACCTGATCCTGTATGGCAATCATGAATCCTCCCGTCTCCCCAAAGAGGCATCCCCGATCTAACCAGCTGTTTGACGCAGTTTTGTCAATAAAATCCTGGGCCAGGTCATAAGGATGCCTGCCATGGAGTGCCTTTCGAGCCCATGATTGCTTAATAGTGTCTATACTTTTTATATGTTGTGTCAAGTCTGCATGATGTGAGTGTAAGTTTAATGGTGTGTTATTTGAGTCTGCTAGAGTTACTGCTTTATGTAACTGTGATGTTTCTCATTTCTTGTAGAAAAACTCTCGCAGTGTCTGTATTTTTTTGTAGTGAAGGTTAACTATGTCAATCAGACCATGTCCGCCATCTTTAAGTGGAAGAGTTAATCTTTCTATCACGGATTTAGGATGATATTGTTTATGCTTAGTAAGCGTTGTTCTTGTTTTCCTTTGGAATTGCTCAAGATCTGTGTGAGTCCAATGTATAACTCCAAAAGAGTATGCGAGTACTGGGATGACATATGCGTTTATTGCTTTAACTGTGTGTTTTGCATTTAACTGTGTTCTGACAATAGCATTTAACCTACTTTGCTATTCTTTAATTAATCTTTGCTTTATTTGTGTATGTTCTGTTAGTTTGGCCTGTTGGAATCCTAAATACTTGTAGAACTCGCCCTCTTCCATGGATTCAATAACGTCTCCATTTCCAAGTGCAAAATCTTCTTTCTTCAGGATTCCTTTTTCTATGTGAAGTTTTTTGCATTTGTCTAAGCCAAACTCCATTTGTATGTCCTTAGTGTATGAATGTGTGATTTGTAGGAGTTGATGAAGTTGTTTTTGTGTGGATGCATAAAGTTTTATGTCGTCCATGTACATGAGATGTGAGAGTGTAAACTGTGTTGTTTTTTCATGTCTGATATTGTAGCCATAATGCGTGTTGTTTAACATGTTGGATAATGGATTCAGGGCTAGGCAGAACCAGAGAGGACTCAAGGAATCTCCTTGAAAAATTCCTCGCCTAATGAATATTTCGTTTGTTTGTATGGAAGTGTTACTAACCCTGAGATGTAGTGTTGTTCTCCAGTGCTGCATAGTGTTTTCGAAGAATGCAATGAGTGATGGATGTATTTTGTACATGTGTAGAATATGTAGCAGCCAACTGTGTGGAACACTGTCGAATGCTTTTCTGTAGTCTATATATGCCATGTGTATGTTTCTGTGTTGTTTGTGTGCTTGCCGTAGAATGACTGAATCTATGAGTAACTGTTCTTTGCATCCCCTGTGATTTCTACGGCAACCTTTTTGTTGTTCTGTAAGAATGTCGTGTTCTTCAACATGTTTGTATATTTTGTTTGTGATACAGGATGTCAATAATTTGTAGAGTGTTGGAAGACATGTAATTGGTCTGTATTGTGTGGGGTCTGTGGTTTTGTTGTTTTTAGGTTTCATGTAGGTGATGCCCTGAGTAAGAAATTTTGGCATGTCTTGTGGATTGATGATGATGTGTGTTAGATGTTTAGCTAGTTCCTGGTGCAGTGATGTAAACTTTTTGTACCAGAAATTGTGAATGTTGTCTACACCAGGTGTCTTCCAGTTGTGTGTTCTGTTAACAGCGTAGCGAATGTCGTGTATGTTTATTTCAGCACAGGGCATAGTTGGTATGTTGTGCAAGTTTCTGTTCTCCTCCTCGATCCAGCCTGCATCAGCATTGTGTGTAACAGCATTGGACCAAAGAGAAGACCAATAAGTTGTGAGTTCTTCTTCTGTTGGTGTGCCACTGTGCTGTGTATCAGTGTTTGTTTTGGTACTGATTTGTCTGTAGAAAAGTTTTTCATTGTTTGTGAATAATTTATTTTGTTGTTTTCGTAGTGTACATGTTTTGTATCGTTTGAGTCTACGTGCTTTGGCTGCGAGTTTTTGTTTTAGTGTATCGATGTATTCTGTAATGTGTGTGTTGTGATGTTCATGTTTTGTGTGTGTTTTGATTTTCTTGAAAATGTTTTTGAGTTGTTTCTTTAATTTGGGTGTTATGTTGTTTTTAGTGTATTGTGTCAGCCTGCCTAATTGCTGTCTAATGTCATTTATTTGTGTTTCTATTCTTCTCTGCCAGGCAGGCTTGTGATAGAATTGTGTTTTGTGTGTGTCTGTCTGTGAGTGTATTTTCAGTCCATGGTGTGTTACTACTGTGACTGCCCCAGCATAAACTAATGTATGAATGTCTGAGAGTGTAGAAATTGAATGAATGTAGTTTGGTAGTAAGTGAGTGTTTACATAATTTAGTGTTTTTCCTACTACCTTTGACGTGTTGATTTTCGGTATTCGTGGTCTTTGTGTGGGATCTGTACCTGTATATTTAGTGAGTGTTTCCTGAAATATAAGTGAGAGTGTATTAACTAATTCTATGTCTACGTTATCAGTGATGGATGGGGAAGTGCCTGCAGTATCATTAGTGGTACTTGTTGTGTGTGTGCTGTAATCAGTGCTTGTTGCTGGATTATCCTGACAGGTTACGTGATCTTCATTAATGTTAAATGTTTCTGTCTGTTGATGTATTTGATCAGCAACCTGTTGTTTGATAAGTTCAAGTGTTGTTTGTGGGATAAGGTTGTTGTGTATAATTGTTCTTTTTTGATCAACAACCCTTTGTTCGGTGACAGTGAGGTGAGGATATTGTTGTGTGAATCTATGGTGTAGTTGTTGTCTGTATGCTGTCATGTTTGTTTCGAGTTTTGTGATTGCGTAGTAAGTACGGATGATAAACTCATTCATTTCTGTTGTCCATTTCATCCGTTGGCGTGGTTTTCCAGCCTTTGTGGTCTGTGGATGCATTGCCACAGAAACACCAAGGCTAGGTTGATTCCTCACATCTGTTGAGGGCATTGCAGTAGCCATGCTTGGGCCGGCGCTGCTTTTGCCACCGGTAACCAAGGGAGACTGGAGCCTATTTTTCGGACGTGAGCCTCTGCCTAACCCACGAACGTGGACCTTGTTAACCCGGGTGATGTCCGAGCCGGTATCATACTTAGATCTGGTTACTACTGTGGCTACACGCCTGTTTTTCTTTTATTAATATTGTTATTATTATTATTAGTCCGTATAGTTTTAGTTTAATTTAAATTCTAGAACTTTCCTTCCTTCCGATGTCTTTGTTCCTTTGTCTCGGATTTCCAAAAACTCGCCTCACCCCTAACCCATCAGGGGGTAGCCTTAGAACAAAAGGCGAAAACGGGGCTGGAAGAGAGGAAAACAAAAGGGTTTTTCGGAATTCTTAGGCCGGACTCGGAGAGCGAGAGACGTGTGGCAGCAGGCTCTGGAACGGAAAGTTGGGGGAGTGCTGCAGAAGGAGGCCGTAAGAAGTGGATCGACAGAAGAATCTGGTTGACGATTATAAGACAAATGCCAAAACTGACCCAAATTGTTCTAAAAGGAAGAACAGCCGAGAACGAAGCCAAGACGAGGAACGGTGGAGAACCAACAGGAAAATTGGGTACCCTCTGTCCTTTAATTCTTCTTATTTCCCCTTTCTATCTTTTCTATCTCTTAGTTAATTTAGTTTTAAGTTAGTTTAAGTTTACGTGCACAACTAATTGTGTCAGGAGGTAGTTACCGAGAAAGAAACTACCGGTCTATTGGTACATCTGATCACTCGGGATTTTGGAAACGTGTGTAGGTAACAGCGGGAATCCGAACTTATTCTGTATATATATTAATGTTAGCGCGAAATTAAACTTGTTTAATTAGTAAAACGTGTCTGTGTTTTCCTGTCCGCACTGTACATTTTCACACTACCATGATAAATATCTCCACAGAATGTGGGTGTGTGGTCACTCTTAGCTTCATTTCTCCCCATAGACCTTACTGGCATGGGTGTCCCTACCAGGAGCTTGTGTTCCAGCCTGCATTGCCTATGGATCAGTAAAATTACTGGGCTCTCCCACCACAACCAGGTGGTGGTCACAGGAGAGTTATTATTATTATTATTTTGATATTATAAACTAGACTTTTAGTTCAAAGTCTTCTAATCCAATTTTATTTTGAGTAGGAAAAAAATGTATAAACTTACTTTCGTCTATTTTTGTACCAGTCCTTGTATCTAAGTGACTTTTTCGTAACTTTAGCTTTTTAGAATCGCACATTGCTGCCGGCTTATCAAAATTTTCAAAATTAAAGATTACAGCAAGACCACAAGGATTCCCAACTGATGGTTGTGTTATAGGAAATGGTTTTTCTAAGAAAGAAAAAAATAATAAAAACAATAATATAATTAGTTTAATTTAGTACAACTTAATGTAAACTGTGTTAATTTATTCTACTTAAGTTGTACTAAATTAGGATTCATATGTAATATTTACTGTATTTATAATTTATTTGAGAAGACAATAAAATATGAACACAATTATCATTATTAAAAGCCAATTTTGTTAATAAAAAAGACAGTTTTATTAACATTATTCAATCTGTTTGCTATTTAGGAGCATAATTTTGTGGATGATAATTGTTGTAGATGCAAGTGAAACATTTCTGTAGTAGGCGCATTGAATAAATACAGCATTCTTACAAAAAGATGATTTACATATGTCCTGGAAAAACAAACTTGGTTAATGTTTAAAAACACTTCTCTATCATCAACTAATTTGGAGAAGAATCACATATAAGCACTCCACTATAGTCAAATTTGATATGTTAAGGTTTTCTCCTTAAGCACTCCTTATTAACCATCTTTGCAACTTTCAAAATTAACAAAGAAACTTGGCTGCAATGAGACTTTGATTTTGAAGGATGCTTTCACAATATATAAAAGCATATTTTAAACATAAGTTTGCAATATTGTGGCACAGTGATTCTTCTGCAGAACAAATTTCTATGCTATTAATGTTAGCACAAGATATTGAAGCAATATTTTCATTCTTTAGCAAATAAAGACACAATTATACACACATTTAGGTTAAACAATGACTTTGTTGCCAGAAGTAATACAGAGTAAGTAATATTTACTGTACTGTATATGAATATAAGAAAATGTTTTGTTTTATATATTATACTATATGAATATTCCAATCATTTTCATTTCTAAAGTAGAATGTGTTGTGCAGATTAATGTATTTGTATGTCTTCTTGCCAAAGCAAAGAAGCATACTTATCTTGCATGCACTGAAGCCACATACCCAATAACCAGACCATCTATAGATATGCAAATAATGTGTGTTTGGAATGTTGTTGATAGAAATAGAAGATAGGAAATCTGTAAGAAAGCATTCTCATTTTCCACTTACATAAAAATTATTTTGTAGTCTTCATTCTAAAAAGTGATTATAATTGATAAAAATCCTCACTCAAACACCAATACCAGTTCATATGTTTATATTACCGGAAGTAAACCTTGTAATATTGAATGGGTATTAGTATTTACATGAATTTTTATTATTAATTCTCTTGTAAATATAATTATGAATTTTTGCACTTCTAAAAATATTTTTACACATAAAAAGATTATCTACTGTTAGTTTTATAAATTAAAAAATTATTCAAATACCTAAATATTAGTAATTTATTACCAAAATAGTATCTGAATCCTTCTTCAAATATCTCAATATCTTTGTATTTAATGATGGATAAAGCATTTTGCAAATCTGTAATTTTCTTTTCGGTTATGTCTCTGAGATAGACGCCAAAAAATTCTTCGGCAGCAATGCCATCCCATTCGGGACTGTGTGGAATTTCAGTCTTGTCCAATAAAGTTTTCAGAACTGCCACTTCCGAATCTTTAAGAGCTTCACATAAATTAAATATCAGCAACCTAATTTTTTAAAAAATTTGTTATGAATTTCAAAAGTACTCTCTCCTATTTATTTTTACAAAAATAATTAATTATAAAAATTTTTACAAAGCATGACTTAAAATAAACCTCCAATTCCTAAACAAGAGAAAAATAGGATGATAAGTACACTATACAAACCTTAATTCACCAACAAAAAAATGTTAATATACTTAATTTTCAGACATTTTTGATCTATTACTAAGATCATCTTCGAGTCTGTTTAATGTTCCAAAAGTGGAATGCAAGAAAGAAAAATGATGTATTACAAAAAGGATAGAAAACATTTGAAACAAAAATGTATAAAAATATTATATAAACCTTACAAACCACATACAATTTAAATAACTATTTGAGTGTATGCTATTTCTTTTGATAATTAACTGTTATCAATTATATGTAATATTTTTGGATTTTAAGGAAAAGTCATTTTTTTCTATGAGTCCAACTGAACTCCCGATTTCACAGACATGTTTCAGATCATGCTGAGTATAAATGAAAAGGCTTTCATAGGTCTTATAAAGTTATATTTTGGCTGAAATTTCAAGGTAGGTCTTTTTTAAACCAAAATATGGTATAATTTTTTTTTTGTAATATTTTGGAAATTTTGTAGCCTTTTCCATCACATTTTAAATTGTCAATTTTTTTTTTTAAATTTTATCCACCGTTGCCTTGTCACAATACTAGGGGTTGGCTTGACCCCTAGGGTCAGCTTAAAACAATAACATTTTGGCACATGTTTTTGAAAGGGAGACCTATAAGGAAACCTTTACATTAACTTTTGATAAATGCTAATAATTTTTTAAAAATTTTGTATATCTTCAATTGTATATGCCCATCAGTGGCTGAGTGAATAAAAACCCTGAACACCGATTGTTGATAGTGGGTTTGTGCCTGGCCACATGGAGTTTCAGGTTTTCTGTGTTGGTAACATCTAAATAGGGACAAGTTTTCCATAAAAGACCTCCTGGTTGCATTCCCACCTTGGCAGATCTTCCATATGTTGTGCTGACATAACCGAATAAAACCAAACCAATCAATTGTATACTTTCAGACAGATAACCCAACTATGTGAGAAGGATAACTATACAACATTTTAAAAAAGTAAATGTTAAATTTCAGTTCGGAAGTCTGTCAGCTGCAATTATGCAGTTGGAAACTGTGGGGATTCAATTGTGTAATGCCCTCAAGATTATATCTGATACCCGGGCACAGCTATGTCAAACCAATGATCTAGTAGCACAGATCATTTCTAGGAAGCTTGAAAGAGCTCTTTCAATGAACAAGGAGTTTAAAACAATGAAGAAAATTGAAGCCATTTTGAATGGAGAAAGAGCTATTTGGAAGATAACAAACTCGAGCTCTTAAGCAATGACATCAGTCTCTTCAAGTATGCACCTGTGAAGACTTGATGTGAAAAGATTGTTCAGCAGATACAAAGTTCTACTGGCAGACAACTGTTGATCTTTCAAACTTGAATATTTACATAGGCATGTGGTAATACAGTGCAATCCTGAAGTTGAACAATGTTATGTATGAAAGTTCATAATTAAAACACTGTATGAGATTAAAGGGAATCTGAATTAACCTCAGTTAATGCTTATCTTCTGAAATTTTTAGGTCTTTTTAGGTCATATTTTCAGGTTTTTAGGCTTTAATACCTGCTTATTTTGCTGTTTTTTGTAATCTAAAGCTTTGATTAAACTAATAGGTTGGTGGTTTGGGAGTATTTCATTATAAATTTTCTTAAAAATCTGAGCCTTAGTAATATGTTATGTCTACTGAGTATGGATAATGAAGAACAATAACCTATTAGAATAAAAAGAGGAAAAAATGTTCTAAACATAATTACGAACGTATGTATAAAATTATATACCATAGTATGAGGCACCTATAATTTAAAATATTACCCTTTAAAGTACAAGAGAAATTAGTTTACATCCAAATAATAATGATAACTAACAGCTAAAATTATCAGTAATGTGTTATGATGTAAATGCTGATTTAATGTGTTATGATGTAAATGCTGATTTAATGTGTTATGATGTAAACGCTGATTGTAAGTTATCATAAAAGGATTGCCAGATGTACGGTACAATATGTTCTTTTCTTCTTTGAAGTTAATACACCCTTTTTTCATCTCAGATTTAAAAATTTCAAGAGCTTCAAGAGTCTTAACCCATATAGGCTTACCCTCCAATTAGACCAGCCAAGCATACAGCGTATTATTTTTTAGATCTCAATATTCATTTTAACAACAGCCACTACACTAACCTCTATTACAAACCAAGTCACACACAATTATTTTTCTCAGCATATTCAGGCAACCCATTTATTTATAAAATAGCAGTATTCAGAACTCTTACAAGTAGTCTTACTCATTGTACAGTACCTATTTCATTAACACATTAAAAGAACAAACACAGAGTGCATTGCAACAACTCACAGTTACAGAAAAAAGGCCCATTCTTAGTCTAGCCATGTCTAAATCAATAGAACATTGAAAGTACAACTATAATAACAAGATGCCAAAGACAACCAAAGGCTCACCCATAACCCCAAGTGCATCATACTTGATTATGACTAAGATATGAACATCTTGTAGAAAGAAAAAGCTGTGAACAGAGAGGCCAAGTTAGCATACAAATGTAATCCCTCCATATATCTCAAACTGGGTTATTGTAAATATACCACTCACCAAACCATCACCAGTTCATGACACAAAAAAAGAAAAATTCTTACAAACATTTTCGTCTATGTGAAAATAGACATCTTCAGGTTTCAGTGATATTAAACAGGGAGTTGCTATTAACTTCAAGGAAAACTTGCTTACAAAAACTGATCCAAGTGATAATCTTATTTCGTCCACTAGTATGTATTTTCTATAAACAGGACTTATTGAACTGGCTTTAAGGATAATGCAACTCAGTTTCACAGATTATAAAATTTTTAATCTGTGAAACTGAGTTGTATTATCCTTAAAGCCAGTTCAATAAGTCCTGTTAATAGAAAATACATACTAGTGGACAAAATAAGATTATAATAAATTAAGGACATTAAGGCATATTAATTTGACCCAAGTGATTTTTGACATACTTATTTGAAATAAATGTTTTACTGTTTAAAAAATTTTGTAAAGACCAGAACAAGTAATAATCTGAGGGTGCCAGATCTGGTGAATATGGTGGGTTTAGTAGCACATCCCATCCAAGCTGTAACAGCTTCTGATGAGTTATCAAACTCATATGAGATCTGGCATTATCATGGTGAAACACTACATCTTTTCTGTTGATCAAGTCTAACCTTTTCTATTTGATGGTATCACTCAATTTGTCTATTTGATGGCAGTACACTTTCAAATCAATTGTGGAATTGTCTGGTAGAAGCTAAAAAAAAAAAAAAAAATTGATCCACTTGTGAAGACAGTGTTTCTGGGCCTGGAAGGCATTCTGGAAGATCTTCTCAGGAATGTCCTTTAGAGCTGATGTAACATAAGCCTTGATGTTTTCAAATCATGTCCCAATTTTCCCTTCCATGGCCCCTTTTAAGCGAGGAAACAAAAAAAAAGTTGGTGGGAGCCAGGTCAGGACTGTAAGGTGGCTGTGGAACCAATGGGGTTTGGGTCCTGGCCAGGAAATCGTTGACAGTGAAGATGCTGTGGCTTGGCGCTTTGTCATGATGAAGTTTCCATGTGTCCTTGATGTCACTTTGGCAGCGCGTGACCAGGATTTCAGTCTTTCGAACACTTCCAAGTAGAAAGCTGCATTTATAGGTGTCCTGGCAGGTACAAATTCGTGGTGGTTAATGCCTCTGACGTCAAAGAAGGCAATTCGGGAGGTTGATGGATGTCCACTGTGGGGTTCGTTGGTGACCTCTTCTCGGCCATCCTCGAACGACTTGTAATTTGGAGAAGCAATCACGCCCAAAGGTCTGCTGAATTAATTAATGTAAATGTTTCAGTGGCGGATTTCTCAAGTTTAACGCAAAATTTGATAGCGTAACGTTGCTAAACAAAATGATCCATCGCTCCGTGTTACATTAACTCAAAACGGGGTTCACGGGAACGAACGTCCTCACACACCAGCAGCTTGGAGGCAAACGAGACTGGGCAATTTTTGAAGCTAACACCCCACAACACCTAGCACAGCAGGTTAGAACTAGCTACGGCATATCGTCGTGTTGTGAGAAAATTAGTCGCATTACTTATGGAACGCACCTTGTATTGTACTGTACATTGTATGCACTGAAACAAGCATTAACAACACCAGCTTCATACTAATTAACGTTTACTGTCCTTATAATAACAACATCCACAACTTCCTTGATCAGCTCCAAGATACCATCAACAGCCTACGAAATAATAACCTCCTCCTTGTTGGAGATTAACTCTCACTCACCCGCTTGGGGGGGGAGAGTACAGTAATACCTCGACTTACGCGAACTCGGAGTTACGTGATTTTCAAATCTCGTCGATTCGTCTTTTGTTTGAGTGCCATGCAACTCTTGATTACTCACTCCCCCCCGCACTATTGTTTGGCTTACATGTTCAGACGTGTCGCGAGGAATCGACACATAGCTACAATTTATTTTGTGTTATTTATTTCTGTGTTTGTTATATCTACTGGAGACTTGAAAGACTATGTGGTGATTTCTTGTAACCATGAACTTTTGATTCAAAAGACGAGATAAGATTAACGAGAACATTTATTAGCTTACATACATCCGACTTGGATTTTACACAAATTGCAAAATTATACCCTGACTTATGCGGTTATCGCACGGTCCCACCTATCGCATAAGTTCGGGGTATTACTGTACTTGGACAACAGAGGCACTGCCCTGGATGAGTTTCTAGCCACCAACGATCTAATTCTTCTGAACAATCCACTCTCACCACCAACATTCTCCAGCTTGAGGGGCCAAAGCTGGATAGACATCACCACAGTTTCACTGCATTGTCATCATCTTGTCACTAGCTGGAA